CATTTCTTAGGTCAGAACTATTGGGTCATGTTTAGTGTTTCCATTTTACTCCTCGCTTGTTTTTAAGCACCTAGAGCAACTGTAGCAAACACATTCAGCGTAAATGAAGCAACTTTAGTACCTTACTTTAAAAGCATTTTCCATTTGAATATACATTAGAACGTTTTTGATAATTTGTCTCAAAATTCATCTACACAAAAAAAGCATTCTGGATTGTTTAGTACTTGTACTAATCTCAATTTATCCAACACATTCTACAGAGTTCAGTCTGAACTTCACAATTGGTTCATAAGCTTCATATATACAGTGGAGTGGATGTTTCCCACTGCAGTACCCCATGGGACATGAGGTGTCGTATCTCTGAAGGCTTTGGGCACACCTGGGCTGTTACCCTGACAACCAAACAGTGTTATACTGACTACTGAGACTAATCTAGAAAATCTGATTTCAGCAGCTTGTAAATGACATTACAGTCCACCGCTAAGAATTTACCGAGTCGCCAATTCACTTTCTCCAAATCACATTACCAGTCACATGCTACCAGCAGCTGTGTGTATAAAGCCCTGTGCCACTGTCCTGTTATGTGTTCAAATGAGCAGAAATGTATCATCTGATTGTTGCATGCATATCTTAATTCAGGTATTTAACTTGTTGACATTCAGCAACACACTAAAGTCCTTCTTTTTTGGCTTTCAGGGGAAGGTTTCCACAACTACCACCACACGTTCCCCTTTGACTATGCAACGAGTGAGTTTGGCGTCAAGCTCAACATCACCACTGCCTTTATAGATCTCATGTGCTTCATGGGATTGGCCACGGACCCCAAGAGCGTGTCAAAGGAAGTAATCATGGCTCGCGTCAAGCGGACGGGTGAGGGCAGCCACAAAAGCGGCTGAGTTACAATAGCTAGGAACTTTACAAATGAAACCGAACATGTCGAACCGAGACCGAACGTAGCAACAGGTATAGCAGCATTTCAGTGGTGGTGGTTGGGGGGGGGCGGGGCGTGATTGCCATGCTTCTGATTATAAGTTAAACCCCCTCCCAAGACACATTTTTGGCTTTAAAGAGTTGTAAACTTTTCCATAAACTGTGCGGGCCTCTTTTGAAGTGTCCTCGCCAACTATTCGCCACAGCCAGCGACTTGACTACATGTGCAAGCACAGCTTTTCAACATAATATTTAAAACCGGGCACAAACAGAATGAAAAGGCTAATTAGGATTTGTGTCGCGTTTGGCAGCAGTAGGACAACCAAACAAGTGTTTTGTTGAAGCATTGATTACAGAAAGATTTACTGTATATCTTATTTGTTTAATGTGCTATTTATTAATTGTGTTTGGCACTTTGGAAGCTTCGTTGAAACCCTTAACAGTGAGGTTTGTCCACAGGCAATATTAAGGGCCTCCCGCTAACTTCTCTCAGTACTGCTTTGTCTCTTTCCACAGGGAGTGGAGTTTCATCTTGATTATTGTTTGTCTGTGATAAGCTAAGGTTTTCTTTATTTTATGTAAGATATTAGTCTTGCTAAACCATAAGCTACTGTATTCAATGCCGACACAAAGACAGGCAACACTCTATTGAACTTTCCATATTTATCATACCGGAGTAACCCTCGGTTGAATACAGTTCAGATGTGCTATTCTTTGGGATACTTTCACACCCATTGTCTCCAACTGTACCAGAAGGGTTCTTATTGAGGATTAAGTTCTCTGTTTCAATGCAGTTTATACCTCTTGTTGAGTAGTGAAGACGCCTCAGACTGAAACACGGAACCTGACTTCTCACTCAATACACAAAAAGAAATTATTATTAGCATTTATTTTTAAATATACTCGGACAAGGTAACACTCTCCCTCAGATAAGGCCAATGAGGCATGTGTAGAGGCTGCATTTACCTTTTGTGCTGTGTGATATTATTGAAACGTGTCAGGACTCTTGCCCAAATGCCTTATGAGGGTTGCACACCTGATTAAAAAAAGAAAATGTGTTAATATTGCAAGTTATGAAAATACATTAGAATATTCTGTCTAATCAAAGATGTTTCTGTCTGTCTTTAAGAAAAACTTAAAATTTAAAATCCCTGTTTTATAATGAATAAGAGGGGACCATTCAACTAATCTTAAAGAAATGCTATGATTTAACTTTTGCGTGACCAAACAAATACTTTCCTCTAAAACAAGATCCAACTTGTTATATCATTATTGATAATGTTGTTATATTTGTCACACATTTACAGAGCAACACTTTTTTACAGTGTTAACTTCTTGAAGTTTGAATGCCTTAAAACAATGGCACATTTTTTCAAAGAATGTTTTTGCCCACTGTATGTACCGTAAATAAACCAAATTTTCTACTTGCGACAAAATATGTTTTTGATGTTTTTTGTTGGAATTCTGTAATACTCTATTCGTAAACTGAATAAAAAAATATGATCGTACCATTTCTGTTACATTCTTTATCAATGGATTTTGATAGATTAATAATAACCACTACTTAAAATGATAATGAACTATTGATGAAGTTACTAAATCAACTATACTTTAAAACAATGTCAAAAGTTAAAGAAACATGGAGCTAAGTTATTACATGTTTTATATTACAACCACAATCTATTCTGACATACTTGGCACTGTGACATACAATGTTTTAGTATTGAAAATATATTTCACATGAGAAATTAGGTATGTACAGACAGTTTTTATTGGGTATTATTTCATACACATTTAAATAGTGCAGTAACGTAAGCATTGTTCACATTTTTGGAAACCTTGATTACTAGTCTGGCAGTTGTCGCCAACTACACAACATTATTTTTGTCACTGACGTCCAACACGGGTTAAGAATCTGAAAATATGTTATCTTCATCTTGCTCCTCCTGTTGTTGGACATGTTAATTGACGTCATCGTCTCCTGTCTACATGCCTATACTGATGGGGATCTTATCTCTGCTGTTCAAGCTCAGTTCACTTGTCTCAGGCATCGAACATTGTTGTAAGATTACTGCACTTTTAACACCACCGTACATATTTAAAATAGCTGTGGATATTGTTGGAACATAGAGTACAGACATCTAGGTAGTGCATACTGCTTTGCAGCCTCACGTGTTCAAGCCTACATATTTAAAACGGAAACAGCCTGACATGCTGTTTGAGCAAAAATAGTTTATTTAGTGTTGTCTCTAAAGAGAATTTAGTTATCAACATATTTCATCCGTTTGAAGGATCTGTAAACTTGCTCCCTCTGCTGGTGAATTATTTCAATGCAGGTCAAACAAACAGCTAAGAACTCCATCTGATGTGTTAACGCAATAACATGTGATAACCTTGTTGCAATTGGTGGTTTTGGCATAAAAGCTTCCATTCAGAGAGCAGCCACAAGCCTGAGTCTGGTCCAAATGTGCATGTAAGTGGTCCCACAACTGCTGATCTCTGTTGCTCGAACAGTGACATCAGCCCTCTGTCTATTGGCTGCTGACTGTCAGGCCATCCTCTTCACTGCATGCAACACCTCGGTGTTGGTCACACAGCCAGTCCGAGCTCGGACACCACAGTGGGCAGACAGACACTTTCAGCTCTGCTATTGCACACCCCAGAGGAGTTGTTTACTAATAAACTCCTGGCTGTTGATTTTCATGGGATCTGAGGTCCCAATTTAGTCAATTCAGAATGAATCTATACACAATGTTACCCACCCACACGTTTTGGACACTTATACAAAGAAAAAGAAAAATCCCATGTTCTGCAATTAGATGCAAATTCCACTATGCTCATGCAAAGCTAGATGCCGCTATTTTTCACATTTATAGACCAATATGGAACTTTGATGACGCCTTGTTTTCGTGTTGTGATGAATTGTAGGCCTAACTGCGCACTTTTGGTGACGATCATTTCTCTTGTATTAAAACACAACAGGAGGGATTCTGCTGTTGTCTCATTTCACTTGTCATTCCACTTTAAATCTTAATCCAAAAACATCCCTCAGAAGTCCCCCCTCCTTTCAAATCACTGTTTCTCTAATCCTAATTTGCACACAAGAAGGTTGCTAAAGGGCTGCCTGCGCCAAAGGAAAGGGTCCTAAAGGTCAGACGGGGTTATTGGGGAATAACCCTGCATGCAGTGTTAGGTAGGGACCGTCTGGATTAGTGATGCAAATGTCCCATATCTGATCAATGGCTAGGCCTTCTCTCTCAATCTCTCTTTTATTTTCTGTTAGGGATCATCACTCGGAGAAATTCTCTCTTTTTATATCTACGGGCGTCAGGGTGGCAATGTGACAGGAAAACGGGATATGCTACTTCTAACAGGTAAACTCGAATAAACATTAAAAAAAGTATATTTAAAGTGATTTAATACGACACAAAACGGATATCTTACGGAACAAAATGTAAAACGTGGTTGTTTATTGATCCTTATTATGACATCGTCGACGTTAAGAGATTACATGTAATACAATACACAATAGCCTACGTGTGCCATTAGCCTACTTATTTGTAAAGAGATATTAAATGATGTTTTCTCCAAAAGTAGTTTTCGCAGCCACCTGCAAATCATCTGGCTACATGTGGAAATAACGTATTATGTCAATTTAGTAAATATAATGAGGCAGTTTGACCCCATATGATATCAAATGATCAGAGGACACGTTGTCGTGTTCCGTGTGAGTAATAGTCCTTGTGTTGAGGGTGATAAACATTGATCCAATCACATCTTTGTAATAGCATGAACTACTTCCTCGAGAACAAACAATATATGTATATCAAACTAACCATCCGTCACCCAGAGGACTATCTTCCACTAATCCCTGACAATCAGATACTTGTTAGATAGTTTAAATAAACTTTTTTCTCCTACTAGAAATTCAAGGGATCAGTGTTACACTTTTGCTATAGGATTAAACAGATCTTCCTTGGCTCTTGAATGGAGGCAGGGAACCTAGCGTTGCCCGGCCCTGAAGGCCCAGGGTGCCCTTTTGATCGTTTCAGTCTCTCCTTGGTGCAAAACTTCTGATTGGCCGAGAGAGTAAAAAGGGGGAAAATCTTTAATTAAGCAGATAATCTCTTGTTGGGACGAGAGCAGCTCCATTTCAGAGCCCCCTCCTTGAATCTTGGAAGCTCTGGTGAAGCTTCATGTGCTGGTAGCTCAGTTTCCTCTCCATCGTCAGACCGTGTGCAGGCTTTGGACGGTCTGAGTCACCGTCACACCCTCACCTGTCAGGATGTTCATGCATTTGGAGGTTTTCTATTACATTTTCATTCTCGTGGCTCACATGAGGTCGTACTGCTGCTGGTGAGTTTCATTTATCATGAAATATTAATACTTTCTGCAAACACAGTTTCATCCCCTGATGATCTTTTTCAAAAGGCATAACATGGCCAAATAAATCACTTACCGTAACAATTTGCCAATTGGAAATAAAGGAAAAGTAAAATGAAGAAATTGTTTATGTTTATTATCATTTAGGAATATAATTATACTTTATTTTAAATTAAGGATTTACAAGTTGTAACTAATGGCTTTATTAATACAACATCAGTTATAGATCAGTTGCTACCCACTACAAGTTTTGGGGTGTAAAAATAACGACTTCAGATTAAAATCCATGTATTCAATTATCATCACTTGAAACTGAAGACTTGATGAGTTAAAGACATTTTTAAATAGAGATGAATAAACATTTAGAACCACATTTTCAACAACGGACAAATCAATAAACATGTATAAATGGACAACCAACATATTTGGCTGCGTTCATTTTCAAATAGACAGGTTGAACATGATTGACACAACCTGGCAACGGCAAATTTGAAGTCAAGTGTTAATAACATTGAGTCATTCAGTCATTGCCTTCCGTTCTTACATTTCTAGAAACTTTTTAACAAATTCAGTTGTATTGTTCACTATGAGATTTGTATGCATACTGGTGTCACGGTTTAACATGTTACAAGGCGCACTAATGAGAGATGTTAGCAGAGGAATTTGTGAAGGACACTGAGCTTCCCTGAGTGATTAAGCTGTCTCCTTTTCCAGGTCAGTGAATAATTTCCTGATGACTGGACCCAAGGTAAGCCAACTTTCTTTTGATCTTTTCTCAGATTCCTCTTCCCAAAAGAAAGAGGGACCGAAAACAGGTTTTCTGTGTTGTCCTTGTGATATCTCAGCTCAAGTGTATCTTGTTCATGGATGTATCCAACAATGGCACTAATGATATATCAGTAATATTCTTGGCCCTTTGTGTTTTCTTTCCCCCCTGATCGTACACTTGACCTTATTCAGAGGCTCTGCGTATCTACGGGTTGAATGTTTTAAGGGGCGAGGGCAGGCATTGCTGTAGTGGGTGGTCATCATTAGTGAGCCAGACCCCTGTGAAAGAGGTGGCACTTCATCTCAGCAAAGGCCACTTGAGACATATTAGTTATATTATCGTTCACACAGTGTGAACAAGCTGAAGAGAGGCGAGCGAAAGCCAAGGACAGAGCGTACCGGTTTGAGAGAGCTCAATAATTGACGGAAAAAGTAGCATAATGTTGAAATCCGTTCACAGATTGTTTTTGTCATGAAACTGAAAACAAGCATCCTCGACATTAAGGGCTTGTTGATATTCCATATGATACCCACTTTGACATTCTTGAGAAAGAAAATGGCAAAACACATTCAAGGGTAGAAAATGACACCAGTAGGGAGAAATACATGTAAAAGTCTATTGGACATCATTATTCCTAGTTTTCATTTTAACATTTGATTTTGTTAACCCCCTTTCTAGAAGTTTCAGAAGTGCTCTCATGGTTTGTTGGAGCTGTGACTCCTCACCATTTCATAGGCTCAGGTTTTAGTCATTTATTCAATTTTGTCTGCTAAAAATGATATTTATGTTCTTCTAAATGGCTTAGACTTATAAGCAACAACTCAAATGTAAGTACAAGGTCACCATTCCCAAAAGACAATGGTAATTTGTATAAACTGGGTATCAAATCAAACCAGTTGCTGTAAAAAAAATCTCAACTTCTCAATTTATGTTATCACTGTTGCAAAATGTGTGGTGTCGATTTATATGTTAAATATCTCCCCGTTGCTGCAGGCGTACCTGATCTACTCCAGCAGTGTGGCAGCAGGAGCTCAGAGTGGCATAGAGGAGTGCAAATACCAGTTTGCATGGGACCGCTGGAACTGCCCCGAGAGAGCTCTGCAGCTGTCCACCCACAGCAGCCTGCGCAGCGGTAAGACATCACTAACTCCAGACTCCCCAGACATCACTCACACATCTCTACACTGCAGCCAGACCAGGAGAGAGCCTGAATAAGAAACATTGCTAATGGAATTTAAAAGATGTCTTGATAGTCTTTTGTAATTGCAAGTTTTTGTGCGAGAGGGGAGGTTTTTCTTCCCTTTGTGAAATAGAGATGTTTTCTCTGTCGAAACATTCAGCACCCTTTGGGATGGATATAGTTGGCATGGTTGCTTAGAGGCAAAACAAACAAACTAATCCATTTCCTAATACCCCTCAAAATCCCTGCCTCTATTTGCAACTGATGAATGCAATATTGACAAAGGGTCAAATATAAGGCAGTTCAACCTTTCAAAAAACTTAATGTAGTCACAATTTAGAAATGTAGATACCACTGTGTCTTGAAAGCAGTATAGGTAATTGACTCATTAGTTTGAAACATGTTAAAAGCTCTTACTAAGGGAAGGAGATGGTGATATGAAATTCCTGAGGGTCCTTTGTAATGAGACATGCCAGTAAATGAGTTTTCTCTGCTCACAGCAAATCGGGAGACAGCGTTTGTCCATGCCATCAGCTCGGCCGGAGTCATGTACACTTTGACCAGGAACTGCAGCCTCGGAGACTTTGACAACTGTGGCTGCGACGACAGCAGGAACGGACAACGAGGTCAGAAAGGTTCACTTATGTGTGCATACAAAAATAAGTTTGAATCAAAAGGCACGGATCATTTGAACTTAATTATTTTTGCTAGGCGGTCATGGTTGGCTCTGGGGCGGCTGCAGTGACAACGTTGGCTTTGGCGAGGCCATCTCCAAACAGTTTGTGGACGCGTTGGAGACTGGGCAGGACTCACGGGCAGCGATGAATCTCCATAACAACGAGGCCGGGCGCAAGGTACAGTAGGTGCTCCTAATTCACTCCATCCACAATGAGATATTAGTCCTTGGTGTAAGATGTAACACCATGTTGTTGCCTTAATTTGAGCTATACAGTATTTAAACTGAGTAGTGTTGGATTGCTTGACATTTCTAGATTCTCTCCTGGCCCTCCAACTGATTGCGCAGTGTAAAGCACCTTTTGAATATTTTTTCCAGAATTACACTGCCACCCAAGCATCCCTTTCACGTAGCTATAAGTGAGGTGCCACTCGTCCCCAATAATAACAGTGTGTTCGGTGTACCAGAAGGGCCTATTTACAAGTGCTGAAAGCCCCTTATGACAATACCTCAACCCGAAAATCTCAGGATCACTGGTGCAAGCTTAATTAGAGATCCTGGGGAGCCAGACATTGCACAGCGTTCTGTATTATGCTGCTTTTTAAAATAAGTGTTTAGTTTTATTCTTGCAATAAGGATCCCACATTTATGTTGGTCTTTGTTTGGCCCAGAGGGAGTCTGAGGGGACCACAGGCGTGCAGCTGAAGTGCTCTTTGTTTACGATGCCTTTGCTCCCCCCTGTCGGGCCCTAGGATCCCCATGGCACCTGGAGCATCATTGTAACAGAAAAAAATGGGGATAGAAAGAGAGAAAAACTCCTTTTTCATTTCTCCACTCAATGGGACTCTCCATTGGGTCTTCTCACACTAGAAAACATGTTGATAATGAACATGCTAAATAAATACTTCTATTTCTTCTGGGGGGACAATAGGACTCAATGTGAAACTTTGATTCAGCCTCACTTCAACAGAAAGTTCATCCCCTCCTCAAGAAAAGAAAACGTCCCTTTCAACCGACAGCTGTTTTTGTGTCGGATAAAGTCAGGAAACACTGAGGACGACAAAGAAACTCAACTGTGGACCTTGAAGCTATCATTTCTTCCTTTCAGTGTATTCATCCTTTTATACTTAACTGGAAAACGTTGAGAATACAATTAGTTAATTTGACAACACATCAATCAAGAGACAATGGACATCCTGTCTTAACACACACATATAATTACATAGACATGAACTAGAGTGTCAATGCATATGAAACTAACATCCTTCAACAAAGTAAACTATGTATACATTTTAATAAAGTGTATTTGTGTCTCCAGGCTGTGAAGGGGACCATGCAGAAGACATGTAAGTGTCATGGGGTGTCGGGAAGCTGCACCACCCAGACCTGCTGGCTGCAGCTGCCGGAGTTCAGGGAGGTGGGGAACTACCTGAAGGAGAAGTACCACAGGGCTCTGAAGGTGGATCTCCTCCGAGGAGCCGGGAACAGCGCGGCCAGCCGAGGGGCCGTCGCAGAGACCTTCAGCTCCATCTCTCGAAAGGAGCTGGTCCACCTCGAAGACTCCCCCGATTACTGCCTGGAAAACCACACTTTGGGCTTGCCGGGCACAGAGGGCCGCGAGTGCCTCAAGAAGGGCAAGAACTTGAGCAAGTGGGAGAAGCGCAGTTGCAAGAGGCTCTGCGGAGAGTGCGGTCTGGCTGTGGAGGAACGCAAAGCGGAGATGGTGTCAAGCTGTAATTGCAAATTCCACTGGTGTTGCGCAGTGAAGTGTGAGCAGTGCAGAAAGACAGTGACTAAATACTTCTGTTTGAAGAAAGGAGGTCAGAGGGGAAGGAACGAGAGTGCCGGGAGCCGCCGGAAGAACCTCAGACTGAGGAAGAAGCACTGAGCAACCCTTATCACTTGAGTCATAATATGTGTGTCACTGCAGACTCTCTGTGCATGTTCAGATAGTGTGTGTTTGGACAAAAGCTTAGCAAAAAATACAATTTCAGACCATCTTCATTGTCTTTTTTTCTATTAAAAGTTAAAGATTGTGGGATGTGCACAAAGTTACATGGTAGAGAAGTTTACAACTTTGTAGAGTTTTGGTATAAATGTATTTAAGATATATTTTTTATACTTTTTACAACATTATCAAAAGTCACTGGGCATTTGAAGAGCATACTTCTGACTGCCACATTTGCCACAACATGATTTATTTATTTTCATACGTACACATGAGCCTTGGGGAACATTTTAACAGTTACTTTTTGATCAGTGGATGGTACGATTGTTTAACAATGGCATAATCAGCTTTTGAAAACACAATTTTCAAGAACCCGTCAGGATGTAATCCCATGAATGCCTAATACTGTTAGCCTAGCAGTAATATTCGTATATTTCAACTATCATAGCCAATCTTTACATTTATTCAGAAACATTTAGACATTTCTTTCGGAAAGTCTGGCCCGCCCTGACCTTTGCTGCCCTCTTGATGTATTTAATTGTATATAAAATGAAGCACTTTGTACTGTACATTGTTAATTTATTGCACAGCATTTCCTAGTTTTGCTTTATTGTTAGTTGCCTTAATGGTTTGTTTTCTATTAAAATGTAATAAAAGAATAAATCCTTCCATCTTATATATCGTTCAACCTGAAGAAAGCATTCATCGTTCTTTACTCTTTGTGATTCCTGAATCAGTAAACACAACCTTCCTCTTCACATTGTTCACATAAGGGTGAGGACACCGTGGGGCAAATCAACAAGAATTGTAAACTTTCCAGCGTTCTCTTCGTTCCATCACGCCTTTCTCAATTTCGCCTCAACAAATACCTCCCCGTCCTCTCACTCATCATGGTAATCCTCAAAGAGCCCCCTAACTCCCCACCGCTTGGAAGTTTCTTTACTGTTTAATACTAGTTTAATTAACTTTGTCCAGACAGAGTAGGGCCGTGGGGGTGGAGGGCATGAGGCAAGTTGCCCTTAAAAATCATCCCGCCTCTAATTTTGTATGCTAATCTCCTTTTTCACGCCGCGCCTCCTTAGGAGTGGGTGAAAGAAATGTTGGGAAAACTTTGGGGTTGCCTGTGCAGGGCTTCCTGCGGCTGTTTTATTTCTGGGCCCACCTATTTGGATCCTTTCACTCCTCTAGGGCCTTCCTTTGCTCGATTTAACAATGAATGCAGAGCTAATCAGCTCTCTCGGAAATGCACCACTGTCGAGGAAGGTAATCCCTTCTTCTCTACTCTCAATGGGCTGTCGCCTTCTAAAGGACTTTGGGAAAAGGCTTTGCACAGATTCACACTGTTTTCTCAAAAGAAGTTAGTTCAAGTATTGTGCCCAAACAAGTGGGTTTTATAAACACATGCTTGCCAGGAGACTCACCCCACCTGCAAGTAAGAAGTGCCAGGCCCAGGCAGACTAGCACATGGCAGCCGAAGCCGAAACCCTTCAGACGAGATGGGACATGAAAAGGGAGATTAGAGTTCCCATTGAGAAGGGGGCGTTCATTTCTGCACCTTCCTCCTTTTACTTAATAAAGTGTCAAGGAAACACCTTGTTGACATCTTATTTACCAAATAATGATCATAATCAAAACTCCTCCCTCCTGATGACCCCTGTGGGCTTGCTGGATTGCTCTGTCTGGCATGCAGGGAAGCCCAGTCACCAACAAAAGAACCAGCATACCAAGCTTTCTCCCGGCGGCTCTCTGGAAGCTCTGCAATTTACTGAGATAGGGCGTAGTAAAGGTGCACATAAAATGTCAATTCACAAGATTTTGAATGCAAAATTATAATTAGCACATGCATTTTGGATTAAATTTAACAAAGCCATTTCAAACTCGGTGTTTAGAATGCATTCTTATTTAGAGTTTTTTCTGCAGTTAAGTTTGTGAGTCCTGCTGTCAGCTCTGGCTCACTATCAGCGGAAAATTGCCTGCTTATACCCACATGTAAACATAAATCACACAAAGGGAAAAAACTGCCAACACAGCAAGTCAGTTAAAGTGTGGGAAAAAGCCAGACCGAAAAACATGTTTACCTGTTCTTGGTTTGACACACCTGGGGCACTGTTCGCTTGTTCTGCCAGGATCAGTTGTGCATCAGCAGCGGAGATGAAAGAGAGTGCATTGCTCTGGTGGGCAGTACATGAAAATAATAATGTGCTTAACCTGGAGACCTAATGTCAGGTGCTGGACCGGGAGAAGCTAAATATCTCAGCTCCAAAAAGAAATAGTAAATGGTTATATAGCCCAAATAGCCACTTACCCTTTACCCTGCTGCACTATAATATCTTAATTTGTCTTTAATGACGGATTATTTCACTGTGGACTACTATAAGTGGGCTATGAGAGTCACATGAACAACCAGGGGCCACAGTTTGAGGCAAACACCTTAATAATCATCAGCATTATGTCAATTTTTTCCCCTAAAATGAACAACCACAAGGAGGGAAGGTGAACAGGATGGGGCACACGTTATAATGGCGTGTGAAAAAGCACAAAACGTCGACCATGACACATCATTTCCCAGAGAGTGACACGACCTCCGACCGAGGGGTCTGAACTTCCGTCTCTCGGGCCAGCCCTGCCATGTCCAATTTGCCGTAACACTTGAGACTGAAGGTGGTGGAGGGAGAGGGGGACACCGCAGAGGAAGAGTGAGGCTTTAAGCTTTCTCACAGAGCTTGAAAAATCAACTAAACCTTTATGGGATCTGATTTTTTAAATATAAATTTTGGACATAAAAACATTTTATTTGACAGTATTAGCAGCATGAAAAACAATTCAAACATTTTAAATTTGGTTGAAAGTATATATGTTCTCCTTTAAATTAGAACATTTTATATGAATAACACAGAGACAAATTTCTCTCAGGTAGCAAGAGATAATGCAATCAACGAAAGATGGGAAAACGACTTATAATGCTTCAGAGAATCCTTGACTAATAGGATTTATGGCTTAGGGGTTCTGGACCTACAACACCTACAGGGGCGAGGGTCAGTATGAATGTGAGAGAAAGGCAGCACAGATGAGTACAGATGAGTGGGACGTCCTCCAAACTCTCTTGTTACACAATTTGGTTCTCTGTGTCTGTTTGTTTGCAGTATAACCTCCAGAAAACTTAAACGCTTCCACTCATCAGTAAACTGTCTCATTGTAACATTATCTCCTCGAGGGAGTCTTTGTTTTGACAGCAGTCCGTCGGCTGGGGAGAAGGCAGCAGCGGTGTATGTTTGTTGCTATCAGCAGGATTGAGATACAAGCTTTTTGAGGCTCACTGGGGTGGTCAATCTCCTGGCTCTGTCTGCAAAGAATGGGGAGAGGGGAGCATCAGGGGGATCAGCTCAGCTCACTGATCTGCACAGGAAACACAGAGCATGGGAACCCACCAGGGAGCCACAACTAGTCCCCACAGTGGAAATCTGCTGATAAAGCCTGAGTTAAGAGAAAACAGAAGATGAATCAGGTTTTTACAAAACACATCAGGAAATGCTTTTGAGATAAACTTCTTCCTGTATGTGGCTTGTAAAGCTGTCACAAAAAGGGTTAACACCACAGAGTGTCAATGATCAAAGTGATTGATAAGATGCACTCCATCGAGTTCAATACCAGAATGACGTGAGAAACAGAGCCAGACTCCATCAGCTGACCGGTTCAGTGAGCAAGGTACAGTGTGAACTGCTATCTCATCAAGAGCTATCAATACAGTGCTGAGGCAATGATGACCACAGGTAAATATTGGCTTTCAGGATTTCAAAACTGTTTGCTCTGTATTTTATAAAGAGAGAAAAAGTTGAAGGGAATGACTTCTAATCATGATCAATGGGAAGAAAATGTGGCCTGTTTTAAACGTTATCGATGGCATGACTGCATGGCGTCCTACTGTACAGATCAATGTTAACAAGCACTGATGGAAATATTCAGACTAAGTAAAAATATGTGTTGTCAGCTAAATAAACTGAATTACCCAATAGGCAGAACTATCCATCACAGTGTAATATATTGCTTTAATGTAATAGAAACTGTTTTATATAGCTTATATTTTCTTTCAAGTTTCAAGTTTCAAGGCTTTTATTGCATAGCTACAGTGTGGTTATGACAATGAAATTCTTCGGTCACAGGCTCCACCAACAGTGCAACACAATAAAACAGATAAAATAGTACAAGTAAATAAAATAGAATATAATAGAAACAGAATATAATAGAAACTGTGTGGAATAGTCTATATACAGTAATTGGAATATTGATGTATATTATATGAGTTGCAAACCGATTAATGTTATGTATGTTCTTTCAAAAGGTCAGCTTTGTCTAATACAATGCCTCATTTCAGTCCCTGCCTGCAGCTTCACTCTGAGTGTAATGTAACGTTCCTTAGGGCTGTATTACATATCTTTATTTCCTTGCACATTATGTTGATTATGTGATGCATCAATAGCAAAAACAGAAGCTTTACATATGACTTTAGACATGACTTGTAGTCACAAGGCAGGATGGTGAACTGCGTGCTGTGGGTTTGAGTCCAACGAGGGCCCCCTGTGGCTTGTTGTGAAGGAAGTCCTCTTGAATTTCACTTAAGGTTGGAGTACTTTCTTCCTCAATCACTACTTAAGTCAAGTAACTAATTCCACAATTTAAAATAGCAAAGGAAGCATTATCAACATAAAACAGAAAAGCATCAAAAATGAAAGGAAGACGACTTTCATTGTGTTTTCTTTTAATTTTCTTTATTGATACTCAGGCATTCTAGCAACTAGAATTAAAGATGGTTGCAACTACATTACACTACTCAGAATGTAACAATGCCTTACATTTTAAAAGATAAAAATATATTTTGTATGAAGACACTTTTTCTTTGCAGTCTATTGCAGTCAAATTAATCAGCAGATTGTGCATCACTTATCTGGGCTACCAAGCTTTCTGTAAAATACATTTGGTGGGATAAAAATGACAGTATCTCCCTCCGAAATGCAGTGCAGTAGGCATATTAATTAAACACTTGAGTAAAGAAAACTGTTTTCGATAGTAATTTACTTTAAATGGGATACCACAATTATTAATCATATTGGGGAAATGCACTTGTTGAATCAAAAAAGCAAAGACAAAAGTTAAAAAAATCTAGAGAGAAATGAAAAACCAAATAAAAGAACATAGCTATACTCACACTGTATGGGCAACACACGGCATAATTGCACCCATAATTTCATAATGATGTATAATTGTATCGAAAAAAAACCGTATGCTTATGTTTATAATATTATAGATATATAGCTATATAACAAATATATAATTATAAAAAACGTATTATGATGAATTGTTATGCATTCCTTAAGTTATTTTCTGTTTATTTGTCAGTTTTCTGAACTAATGCAAGAAAACCTAGTACAACAGCTCCCTCTCGCGGTGCATTTAAGTTATTACAACATGAGTATTGAAGCATCCAGGACATTAGATGTCGCTGTCCGAAATTAAAGGCATACAACTCTCTGAGTGTTGTCCTGATTTCTTATGCTCGGCTCGTTGGCTTTCTGGCTGTCAACACGGTGTGTAAACAGCTACACGGAACAGCCGTGG